TCTTACCCTGAATGCCTCACTCTGAGGAAGAAAAACTCCACCAACTTGGCCCTTCTTCAGAGGGAGGCGGGGAAACAGCAAAACATGAACAAAAAAGTAAGCAGTGCCAGAAGAGGAAGGGGTTGGGAGCAGAGGAGTGGGTAAGAGGAATTGTAGAACTGTAGAGTTGGCAGGGAACCCGAGGGTCATCTAGTCCAACCCCTCCGTAATGCAGGAATCTCAACATACAGTCCCCCATCCAATCTAAAACCATACCAGGCCTTGCTTAGCAAATGTGCCAGCATGTGTTGCTTGCACCACTAGGAGGACAGGAGGAGTGAAGGTGCCGCAATATTTTGCAGCAGGCTTAGATCCAGCATGTTGTTTCCAAAAGTGGAAAGCCATTTTCTTCTAAAACTCACAAATAGCCCTGTTGTCAGAGGTCCACTGCCCTTGAACATGGGAGGTTGCACAGTGGCATAAAAAGATGGGCAAACCTAGAAAGCATTTGCTAACAGCCAAGTCATGTGACAAATTCTTGCATAAGTCTTGGATAATGCATAATGTTCAACATATAACATTACTTGAAAAGAAGACAACACGAAAGCCTCTTTTAGCCTTCCACTGTAAAGCTATCTGCCAGTTCTTATGAAAGAGCAAAAACAAAGCCCAAAAAAACCCTGAATCACCACACAGAACTAATGTTTTTACACACAGAAACCACAAAAGGTAGCAATGCTTCATCTCTGCTGGGAAAGTACAATAAAAATAAATCAGAATGAGTGAAAATGTTGTGGTTAATATATATGACTGGAAAGCAAACAAAAATAAAAGAATAAGATATAGGCCTTTGATCTCCATTACAAGTTTCAATATCAAACTGTCTGAAGTTGTACAAATACTAATTCCACAACGTTTAATAGACTGTCCAAAGGAAAAAGGAAAAGTGCAAGGGTGAGATCCAGCACAGTGTGGACTGTCATCCACTCATACGAACCTGCAAACCTGCTCCTTCCAGGGAAGTGTAGCCCCATCCAGAGCAGGCCACCTTCCCCAGCTTCTGGACATGAGAACTCCAGGCACAAAACAATCCTGTCTTTTCAGGAATCAGCTTCAGCCCACATACAGCCCATCACCGCTTCCAAGCACTAGTCAAACACCTCAACCACCTCTCCTGATTCAGATGGAACAGGCAGATGAAGCCGGGTGCCACCTCCATATTGATGACACTTGATGTTACACTTCCTTCACTACAGCTATCATCATCTCTGACCATTGGCCATGCTGGCTGGAGCTGATGGGCATTGTGGTCCAAAACAATGACAGTTTCAACAATGACAGTTGGAGCTCTTTTAATCTGTACTGTATGTTTATTCTCCATAGTCTCAGTGTTGGGGGGAAACATATGGTATAAAAATAGTGGTTTTGAAAATACACTAAAAACCACTACAGTATTTTCATACCCAAAGTCCCTGACCAAGTTGGCTCTGCTCACACTGTGCTTCCCCTTTGCCCCTCTCTTACCAGGCACATGTCCACACATAGCTCTGTGTCTTCTTTTACTCCAGAACTTTCCTCGTGAAAACCCGCTCTTTAGCGTTCAATCGGAGTAAATGTCAATTCAAGTTTTCTGCGAATTGCCATTTGCTCCAACTGAGCTTTAAAGAGAGGGTTTTCAAGGGGAAAGTTCCAGGGTAAAAGAAAGGGCACTCAGTGCGCCCCTTTATTTGCAAAGAGATGAGGAAAGGTGAGTGTGGACGCCTGATCAGCTTCCAGGTGGAGGCTTTTCCTCTACTGAATGGAGTACAGCTTGGTAGAGGCATCATTACAATTCTGCACTGTAAAGAGCCAGTGTGGTGTAGTGGTTAAGAGCGGTAGTCTCGTAATCTGGGGAACCGGGTTCGCATCTCCGCTCCTCCACATGCAGCTGCTGGGTGACCTTGGGCCAGTCACACTTCTCTGAAGTCTCTCAGCCCCACTCACCTCACAGAGTGTTTGTTGTGGGGGAGGAAGGGAAAGGAGAATGTTAGCCGCTTTGAGACTCCTTAAAGGGAGTGAAAGGAGGGATATCAAATCCAAACTCTTCTTCTTCTTCTTCCTGCCGCCTGCAGCATCCACAGTTTCAACCAACACTGTTTGCTTAGAGTAGTTTTTATTTTCTGGTATCTGTCCCTATTTTATCTTTTGTTGGTGCCATAGTCAGATTTTTTCCATGTAAGTTGCTAGGGCTATCATTTTTCAGGCACAAGTTTCTGACCCCTCCCCACCCCACCAAAAGTTTTCTATAAGTTAAATCTCTATGGAATGCAATGCATATTGGGTCTAGTGGCCATTCCTATGAATCCAGATGTGTACATGGTCAAGAAAGCATGGGTGGGGTATAAATAATGAAATCACCATCATCATGATGCTGAAAACCTCAAAGAGACCCTCTCCAGCTACTGTGTCAAACTGTTTCAAATGGCAGAGTTGGTGAACATGCTACAGTTCCATATGAGAGATCTATAAGATAATAAATAAAGGCTAAAGAGTTAAATGCAACTGGCTTCGCGGTAAATGGGGTAAACTCTTACCCGGATGGGTGTTTGTGCCATCACCACAGCTTGTGGTAGCAAAGCCTGCAGTTTAGGAAGGCAGTGACCAAATACAAAGAAGGACAGTGTTACTGTACCTTTAATACTTGGATGAAATTCTCCTTCACCTCCTTGTGAAAAAGGCAAGTCTTTAGCTTCTCAAGACAGGCAATATTGCAAGCGTAGAGCAACAGAATGAAATGGGACTGCCAATGACGAGGTTATTTTAGGCCCATGAGTGAATGGTCTCCCTCTCCCTGCAATGACCCTCTTCTCACCTGTGCCAAATGTTCAAATCCCAGCTGTAGATTTAAACCCAATCTACTTGCCTGTTTCCATTCCACTACCAGAGAAGTCATTCTTCACTAAGCTGCTTGAGCCGGAAAAAGACTGAGGGCTAAGATAGACTAATAAATAGTGACTAAAAGTATCTGCACTTGCATAAGCAGTTCTGTCTTTCTCTCTGTCCAGTGTTAGGCTGTTATAAAATAACAGATATTTCAACACACTGAGCACATCTGAAAAGCTATACCTTCATATGATTAACACTGAATTTGAAGAATTACTCAATCACAGTGTGTTTATACTGTTTGTATTTTATTCAGTCAGAAAATAAGAGTGACATTTCCATTTGCAAGCTGCGTAAGCAGAAGGAAAGTAAAACAGGACCTTGTACAGTGGTACCTCGGGTTACAGACGCTTTAGGTTACAGACTCCGCTAACCCAGAAATAGTACCTCAGGTTAAGAACTTTGCTTCAGGATGAGAACAGAAATCACACAGCAGTGGCGCGGCGGCAGCGAGAGGCTCTATTAGCTAAAGTGGTACCTTGGGTTAAGAACAGTTTCAGGTTAAGAACGGACCTCCAGAACGAATTAAGTTCCTAACCCGAGGTACCACTGTACTGTTAATAGTCATGTAGCTCTTTTTTCACTCTTTCATGACAAGCCACGCTTTGCAAAATTCTTGGGCAGAGCAATCCAAACTATAGGAAGCCAGAGTAATTCATACTGGGACAAATGATGCAAATGTAATTTGCTCCTATTTCAAACTATGCTGAGGAGTGGGGCTACTGCAGACTGAGCTGGCCTAAGCCTGGCAAAGGGAAAACAAACTTTCAAAAACGAGGTTGACTTACTAGCTCACAACAGCAGCAGACTGGAGGAGGAACACAGCAGTCACAACCTCTTCTCACACTCACACATTTGTCCTAAGGCAGCCATGCTTTGGCTTTGCATTATATGCAAACCAGGTCACAGAGAGTGTTAACGGCATTGAATGAATGAATGAATGAATGAATGAATGCAGTGTTGTTTCAAGCACAGTTCTGCCTAAAGGTACTGAGGCTCTGGATCCCATGTGACCAGGAGCTAAGTAAGTCTGATTTATGACAACGTCTGAGAGCCCAGGATGCTGATGCATTGTTAAACCAGGTCTGCAGCCTGGTGAGTGCCAGCCTGGGCAGGGGCCAGAGGAGGATGGAAGTGCAATAAATGATTAAATGCAAGGGGGTGAGGTAATCTCTGCTGAGTAATTCAGGACGACACCATCTGCGCCACCAGTGTGGTTGCCAGTGAAAACTGCTTGGGTTTGGCACCATCACGGTTTGGGGCCTGTGAAAAAAAATTCCACCAGGCACCACTGTCCCACCTTCCTTCTAAACCAGAAAGTGGGCATGTCTCTTTTGTAATGTTTTACAAAGCCTCCGAGAAAGGGATAACTTTCTACAAAGCAGGAGCGTTCTTATTGCTGTAAAGCTTTCTGAATACTAGAAGATGCAGGAGAGGACAATGAGACCCTGGTACAAAGATCGCTATTTAACCAGAGTTAGTTTGATGTCAACCCTCTTCTGTTGCCTAGCTTAAAAATCTAGCCTGTTCTGTTCTATACCAAGTTCCAGACATTTACAGGTGGGGTATTTCTTATATATTTAATTGCTATGATGCCTAATCAACAGCAGATAGTGAGCCCACTAGGCAAAACTGCTGCTGGCTGTTGAGGGGCGATAAGGGGGAGGGGCTTCCTTACTTTTTGGCATCAGAAGGCAATGGTGGAGACAGGAGTGACCGTCGTCAGCACAGTCGCTCAGTGGACAATCAGCCGCAGGTCAGCTGCCTACCCCCATGTCTCAGCAACTGTTCCCTCAGCACTCTGCAAGCACATGGTTGTATCCGGTAGCACCTCTCAGCACCACTGCTTCCACCTGGGCCCAAAAGGTAAGGCCAGAGAGCTCCCTTTCCCACTCTACAGACATGCAGAGGCCATTGGCTATTTCTCATCTTTTTTGTGATCACCGTTATGCTTCTGTTCCTTTTAAAAGCAGTCCTCAGCTCTCATATATAAGCTCTCAGACTGAGAGCTGCTTTAACTGCTGAAATAAGAACCTTTAGGCTTCCAAACTCAGCCTTCCCAGCCTGGTGGAAATGAGTGGGGGATTGAACTGATTTGATGGGATAGCTCAGTTGGTAGAGCATGAGACTTTGGCTGGATCTACACACAGGAAAAAATCTCTATAAATAAATCATAAATTAAATAGTCCCCCCCCCTTTGTTATAACAATGTAAAAAAATCACATAGACAAAGTTTTGTGTTCTACATCGCCATCTGGTGTTCCATATTTATAATGTGGGTATAGGCTTATGACACGGCTAATGTAGCTGAGTCCTCTTATTAATCTCAAGGTTGTGGGTTCAAGCCCCACACTGGGCAAAATATTCATGCACTGCTGGGGGTTGGACTAGATAACCTTCATGGTATGTTTCAACTCTATGGTTCTATACTAAAATAAAGCAAATGAGGCTTTTTTGCAGGCCAGGAGAGAAAGGTGATGGGGGAAGCTTTATCTGTTTCATTTCAGCATGCCATAACCTCTGTTGATGGACAAGAGAAAGGGACAGTAAAAAAAGCAACAAAACCCCAAACCCACCTCTAGAAACCTAGACTCTAGAAATTGGGCTCTGAGGCCCAATCACAGGTTTGAAATGTGGGAGTTTTCTCACTTGGGGTTTGGTTTCTCTTGCTATTTTTTTGGGGGGGGGGGCAAACAGGAAACAGGGGCACTTGGGATGCAAATAGGCCTGCTGGCCAATGTGAGCTCCACATTCATATTCCCAAGTGACCAAAGCATGGAGCCCATTTAAGTTCCTTGTGTGAAACTGATCCTACTAGAGCGGTTTGGCACCTCAGCCCCCCCATGCCCTCAAATTTCTATTTTCAGCACAAAATGAACAAAAATCTTATTATTCAACAAAGGCACAACAATCACACATTCCTTGACGGATACAGCACAATACTTCTCTTGAAACCCTGGCCTTGCTTCTTTGCACGCACGCGTTCTCTCCTCAATTCTCTTCACGATGCTTCATTGCAGACCGTTATGGCTCCTACAGATCACAGTAATGCTAGACGGGACTATAAAAGTTCTTTTCCAACCTGTTCTTTGCGCACAGAAAAAGTGTCATTCATTAAGCATCAGAAGAGAAAACATCCCTTGGCGAAAAGAGGAGCTGGCACTCACGATTCATCTGCAATAACCCAGAGAGTAGCACTAAATGGAGTCGGAGGCTTTAGGGTACTCAGCCAATTGACGGCATTTGCTGTTGCCCAAAGGAGGCCTCCAGTAGTCAAGCACTGGAAGAGGGGAAATACAAAAAGAGAGAGAAAGGCTTTCATACATCCCCCCCCCCAAAAAAAAGAACACGATATGACTGCATGCACCGACTCAGCTTTGCCTCTCTTCTCCTCATGCCCAGTGTTCCCTGCCTAGCATTAAACTCAGAAAGCAGATTCATCTTGTCCCAACTGTTAAAACGCGCTGAGGCCTCCTTTCAGCCATCTCTCCTTCAAAATTGCAAAGTGCTTTAACTCCTCTAAATTAGAAAACAGTAGAGTGGAAAATTGCAAGAGACTGCTTCCCATAGACTCTGTTTACAGAGGTAGCCTGTAACAAGACAGCTATGACTAGCCTTGCCTGTGGCAAGAGAGGAGGGACAAAGCCCTGCTTAGCCGGCTGCATGTCTGCAGGAGCAAGACAAGACTGAAACTTCCACACACAGACGCACCCCCTGCCTCCTTTCCAAAGTCATTACATTTTGCTCTTGTAATCAGCAGTGAAAACGGTGGCCTTGTTTCTTTATTTTCTTTCCTAGAAGAAAGCGACAAATAGAGGAAAATATCCTGGAAGTAATCATATAAGCAGATCCTAGAGGAAACTATCCAAGGAACAATACAGTAGGTAGTTAGTAAGAGAACCCCACCCTCATAATCAGATAGTGGTTTTATTGCATCAACTGCATTAAACTTCTCTCTCAGCTGATGTCCTTTTCATCCTAATGCACTAAATTAAATATCTGCTTCTTGTAGAATTTGATTAATCTAGTATAGATTAAAATCAAATCATGTACAAAATCAATTTCACTTAAAGTACAATAATCTGAGCCCACTGAGGTCCCATTCTAATAATAACGATAAAGGCTTGCTTTGCCCACTGCACCTCTTTTATATATATATATTTTTTGTCTTTAGTCTTTTACTGAATGTTTAATTTTCAGACCGCATTATGAATTATGACCTTGTATATCTTATTCATATGTTATTACAGAAACTTGGCTAAGGAGCTGAAGGAGAGACAAACTTATTCAAGAATCCCACTGGGGATTTTCAGGTCAAGTCGTTTTTTTAAAAAAAATCAGATTGGTATAAACCTCAAGGGATTTCTTGATTTAAGAAAGAACTACAAATATTTAAGCTGTCTTGGGGGGGATTATGCTGACATTGGATCATGGGATTACCTCGCGCATAAAAGTCAGAGGATTTGGACTGGTTTGTTCTCTCGTCAGGAAATAAATTGGGCAAAAAGGGGTCTTACAGAATGTTAATCACATATTCAATCATTCCTTACTGTAAGTACGCCAAAAGGTAGAAAACAACACAGGGGGAAGGGATTGAAGGGGGTGGTGGAAAAAAGTTGTAACAAACTTGAGTGGTGTTATGTGATTGGGTAGCCTTGATTACAATGAATGAGGGGTTCAGGTATTGGGTAGTAATAGTTGGATTAGACTATTTCTGATCCATGCTAGTTTTGCATGTCCTTGATTATGTTTTGCTTATTAAAAAATGCTGCATTGGAATTTTGAATTTAAATTCAGTGCATGTTCCCATTTTGTATACATTTTTACAACACACATTTTTCTGTAAATATATATATTTTTCTGTGTATTTTTGAAAAACTGAAACTGTCTTGCAAAATTTGGTAAGTGTGTGATCCAGTTGATGGGGATGCGGGTGGCACTGTGGGTTAAACCACAGAGCCTAGGGCTTGCTGATCAGAAGGTTGGTGGTTCGAATTCCCCCGACGGGGTGAGCTCCCGTTGCTCGGTCCCTGCTCCTGCCAACCTAGCAGTTCGAAAGCACGTCAAAGTGCAAGTAGATAAATAGGTACCGCTCCGGCGGGAAGGTAAACGGCGTTTCCATGCACTGCTCTGGTTTGCCAGAAGCGGCTTAGCCATGCTGGCCACATGACCCGGAAGCTGTATGCCGGCTCCCTTGGCCAATAAAGCGAGATGAGTGCCGCAACCCCAGAGTCGGCCACGACTGGACCTAATGGTCAGGGGTCCCTTTACCTTTTAATCCAGTTGATAGTTGTTGTTTGATTGGCATGGGAACTAGCAAATTAAGTCAATTTGGTTTAAAATGTAGTCCAAGTGAATTTTTTATTCCTAAGTACTGGATAAAAGAAATGTCATGTTCCTTGATGGCTCTTAGCATTCATAATGTTTGACTGACTGACTGACTGACTGACTGATTGTATTTTTGTGCCTCTTCATTTGAATGAAACTCAAAGCGGCTTACAAACAAAAAATAACAACAACATAATAAAATAAAATAAAATAAAATAGACTAGAATATCACAAATGCAGCATAAATCATGCAAAATAAATATCAAAATTTCAATCTATAAAGCATTATTAACAGAGCAGCAAGTAAAAATAAGCTGAATACCACAATTATAGCAAAGGTAATTATATGATTAATAAATCAACATGGCATTTATAATCTATTAAATAATATTAACAACATTAACAAATAGCAACTACAAAAAATAAGCTAAGCACTATTAACATCCATGTGACACCCAGAATTTTGTGGGAACATCACAAAGACAGCTGTGGATGAGATGGCAGCTGGCATTTGGAGAGAATCATAGACACAGAGAGTGGTGAATAAGGTACAGAGGCTCTCTCTAGGAGCCTGGTACAAGATCAGTGAATTTGCTGCCTGCTGTAAAAATGCTGATTAGCAGCCAATATCTAAAATAAAATGATGAAAGATAAGCACATCCAAATGTACTACAGAAGATTGCCATATTTTTTAAGTATCCATATAATATGTAAAATCAGTATGTACTGTAAATATGGTCCCTTGCGGTGAGCCAAACGATGACTTACTGTGAACGGGCAAGCAGGCTAGTGAATATTGCTAACATTGCTGCTGTTTCCCAAGCAAACCATGCAAAGAAGACAAGCAATCCGACTCATTGTCTAAAATTAACTAAACTTAATAATAATCAGGTGTTAAATTTTGATTGAAATGGCAAACAGACTGTTTAAACAGTCTTAAATCAATAAGCAGAGTGTGTGTGTGTGTGTGTGTGTGTGTGTGTGTGTGTGTGTACACACACACTGTGATAATTTGATAAAGCAGACATTGTTGTAAATAGAAAAGACCATTTTAACACTCACAAAAACAAGCACAAAATATTCATTCAATCCTATGGCTTTCAGGTCTAATACAATCTTCTTTAACCAGAATTACTAGATAATGGAATGTAGGTTCTTAAGAAGGCATATTGGATGAAGGGTTAATCCTCCAGATCATTCTTGGATACAGGTCTGGAAATGTCAGCTCTTCTCTTTCTTCCCACATTATGGTGATAGAAATATAGCTCCTTTAAGAAAGAAGCTACACACAGAAAGCAAACAAGCACCATTATCAGAACGCTGAACAATACATTTTTCTCATTGCATGCATGCAGCTCTGTCTACCATATATATATATAGAGAGAGAGAGAGAGAGAGAGAGCGCTTTATTTAATTACTGGTGTGGCGGTAGAAGTATGGCTCACATTGGCTCCAATGGAAACTCTTTTCATAGCTCTGAGTTGGCATGTGATTGTTATTCAGATAAGAATAAGGAATAAACCTCTTTGTCAGTGAATGTTGCAGTCCTGGTGACAGACAACCTCTCTATATACCTGCAAAAACAATCACCTACACACACTCCAGCAATCAAACCAAAATCAAAGACATAGCTGCCTCTTATGCCATTAAAGCAATATCCAATGTGTGTTCCGGTATTGATCTGAACATGCAAACACTCAACTCACAAGCCCCATCCCTGAGCCTTCCTGCCTGGCCAGGTCCCAACTTCCGTATGTTGCACATATAAGGTCTGCATGGAATTTCTGCTTGTGTTTCCTTGAATGAGACTGCAAGCCCCATTTCCCCCAGATGATCGGGAGCCCTGATAAAGTGAGTACAAACTCAGCACCAACCTTCTTTGCATAACCCAGGGAAGGTACAGGACTGGGACTGTGGAAGGGGCTTCTGTGTGACCCGCTGTCCCCATTCAAACTTGAGTATGCACAGGTTCAGCTGAATGCCGACACAGGTGTAACTTGGACCAGAACTTCCAGTTATGAGTACTGTGTGGTG